CCACTTATGGGCACTGCAGTGTTGAACCAAATTTAGCTTTTGGGACCCAAATGTTTTATCCAAAGATGACGACAATAATAATTAGTCCATTTCCTTAACTGTAAAATAGGGGTAATAGCTCGTAAAGATTAAATGATATAAAACCAGTTAAAGCACTTACAAGGGTACCTGATAAGTAATAAGCAACCAATGCAATTTTTCCAGAAATAATAAGCAAGCACTGGGGGGTGGGCAGAAAGCAAAGACAACTGAGGGCTGATTTTGCCAGTCCTTAAAATAACAACGTGGAGTTGTTTTAAAGGCAGGAATCCTCTGGATGATGTGAGTGGAGTCACCAAAAGGCAGAAAAGGCCACGGAAACTTGACCACTACCTTCCAAGGAGAAATGATCAATTTTTGAAAATTTGGCTAAAAAAATACCCTTGGCTTATATATGATGAGTTATTAAATCTTATGTACTGTGCCCTGTGTCGTAAGCACGGGGTAAAGTCAGGAGGAAGCCAAGCGAGTTTTTTCTATGGCACTGACAACTTTAGGAATGAATTTCTCAATGCCCATCATCTCAGCGAGGCCCATGCCAAGGCTTCACTAATGGAAGCCACAAGTGCTTCTCCAGTGAACAGAGCTGCCACGGAACTAATGGTGAGGACTATGAGCAAAGTAACCCTCGGAAGAGTGGAGAACTTGTTCAGATCATGCCACGCCATTGCCAAGACTGGGCGTCCGCTCAAAGATTTTATTTGGATGTGCAAGTTGGATGACATGAAGGGTGTTGATATTGGCCCAGTCTTCAGAACTAACAAATCAGCGAGAACATTCACATATTTTATTGCTGAAGTAGAAAGGAAAAATCTACGAGAAAAGCTAGAAAAAAGTAAATTTTTCTCCATCATCAGTGATGGAGTCATAGACAGTTTCCTCAAGGAAGCTGAGCTTGTGTATGTACAGTTTGCATACGGCGGGAAAGTACACTGTCAAATTGTTGGGGTTCAGACAGTAGAGAGGGAAGATCCCCTATCAATAAAAAATGCTATTGAGAAAACACTGGAGACAAATCTTCAGGTAAGGCTGTCGAGCCAAGACTGGGCAAAGAAACTGGTTGGTTTTGGAAGTGAAGATACACCTGGAATAGAAGGAGAGAATGGGGTGGCCCTGCTTTTGAGAGAAATCCAACCATGTGTGCAGACTGTATACTGCTTTGCACATCACCTTGAACTATCCTATAAGGCAGTGTTCCAGAGCATTCCTCTGTACAATGATTTGGAAAAACTCCTTCATAACATCTATCACTTCTATCAGAATTCTTCTCTCCACAAGAGCTCTCTGATAACTGCTTTCAAAGGCCTGCACCTTCGCCCTGTGATGCCTTCTCAAATAAGAGGCAGGAGGTGGTTTCACGGATTACAGGCAGCCCTCCAGAATTTTCTCAAGGGATATCCTGCAATTGTTCAGCAACTGCATTCAGTAAGTATTTTGAAATGCCATATTTTATTACTTTTTTTTTCAGAATAACAGAAAATACTTTCATTTAGCTCCTTGGAGTAATGATTTTGAGAATGATAACTACTGTATTTTCCCAACTGTGTCACAGGCAGTTGAAGGCAGAAGTATCACCAGTCAACAGAAAGCCAGAGAGCTTCTAGATCTCCTCCTCCAAGCTGACATGCTTCAATTTTCCCATTTTTTGATGGATGTCATTAGTGTCCTTAGCATTCTCTCCCGTGCCATTCAGAATAGAAATTCCTCAATTGCTGACATATTTGCCACCTTGGAGTCAACACTGGAAATGCTCAGAATATATCAAACCAGGTGAGGAGTTCCGTCTGTCAAACCAGATTATTGGACTTGGGAAATCATTGCCCAGTGCCTTTTCATGTAATTCTTTTTTGGGGTGATTTTTTTCCCTCCGCAGACCAGGTCCCAAAGAACGCAGGGTAGATTCAGTCACACACTTTCACAGTAACTGCCTCAGAGGAAAAGAAAACATTTCTTCTGTGAGAAACGTGGTTTTAACACATTTTATCAAGACGCTGCGGAGCTGTTTCAGAGATGCCAGTCTAGATGTGGTGAGGGCGACCATGATTGGAAGCTTTAAATTGTGGCCCACAAAACTAAATCAAGGTAACCTGTGCACACTGACTCAACCTGTTATTCTTTGATTGTGAGTTTTGGATGTGTGACTGTATATATTGATTGCAGAATTTGGAGAAAAAGAGGTATCCATCCTAATTGCACATTATGAACCAGTATTAGAAGCTGCCAATGTGAAAATTGATGAGCTGGACACTGAATGGAGCATGTTAAAATTAGAGATTTATGCCAGGTGAGCAAGGAAACACACTAACTCAACAAGTTCATCTGTATAATATTTCAGCAAAACCCAGGTGTCTCAATCGTCTATGGTTTTTGTCCTCCCTTCTAGATTTCAGAATATTCGAAAACTGACCTGGGATTTTGTGAATTCTATTTACTCCCACAAGTACCCGAACGTTCTGATGCTAGTTGACTTGGTGCTGGCCCTGCCTGCAAGCTCAGCTGAAGCAGAACGTGGCTTTCATCAAATGAGACGTACCAAGTCACATATGCAGGCTGAAATCGATGCTGAGAGTATGACAGATATCCTGATCATTCAGTTGAATTCTCCAGACATCAACAATTTCGACCCTAGGAAAGCTATCCATTTATGGAATACAAAAACACCGTCTTCAGCCAGTGACATGGGGCCTAATTCCGATTGCTCATCACACTCAGAAAGCCAAGATGAAAGTGATGAGTCGAGTGACAATGTTGACTTCTGTCATTGACCATATTAAACAAATATAAAAATCAAATGGTAAAAATCTAAAAGTACGAAAGTAACTTAGTCTCCACCTTAAACACAAAAGACCTTTGTCATCTTCCAAACACACAAGCAAAAATTTGAAAACTGGTTTTCCTGGAACTTTCTAACTTTACTTCTGGGTTCACATGTTCTTTTGAATTCTTTGGATGGGGCTGCCTGCTTCTAAGCAATGCTGTTCTTTTGACATCATTTTCCTGAAAGTTCTCTCTAAGGATCATCAGAGGGATTGTGGTCTTCTTCACTTAGGCCTGTACACAGTTAACTATTTTTCCTGGATAATTCTAACTGAGAACAACATTAGGTAACTAACATAAAGGCAAATTGAAAGAAATGTTCTTTTTAAATCTATGAACAAAATTTGGAAATTCATCTGTTGTTGTATGAGGTATGAAAATCATATCACTACACGCCTTACCTAATTGGCTAAATATTATGAGGTCAAATATTAAAATAATTTTCACATTTCACACCAAGACCCCCCAAATAAATAATTCTTATGTCATATGAAAGCATTGTCTAACAGCACCGTTTCCCCATAGCCTTTAGAGACAGTGGAAATACATTGTACACTTACCAGAATTTTTAAGTACTTTGGCTTTCTTAATGATTTCAATAGTTGTTATTTACAGTTTCTTCTTGAGGAATATAACAAATTTATTTCTAACTCACATAAAAACTGATGTGGTATCATATAAAGCTTCACTGAAAATCCTACTACCTAGGAATAAGTCCTCAACTCTATGAAACTGAATACTCGCGTGTGATCACAAAGAATACAGAATCTATTTCTGAACAACCTCTGGATGGCCGGTTATATCAAAGAAATAAAAAGGTCCACTTTTGCTCCCCAGAATAATTACCTTGCAATCTTGAAATTGTATATTTGACTTGAACCACTGACATTTTAAAGGGATGATTGCATTTCCCTCAGAGGTTAAAGGAAATAATAAACTTCATGTGGACTTTTAAAAATGCTAAAATCACGGATGTAAAAGAGAAATTTTGGGAATCTACTTCTATGTTTCACTCTTTTTTATTCCTAAACAAAGAATGGCTGTTGACGTGGAACCTAAAAGATACCTGGATACGTGTTAGGAGCCTCTGCTGGGTCTAGAAGGTACCTCTGCTGCATGGGTTAGGAGACTTTTTCTTACAGCAGCTTTTATTTTATTTTCCTAGTTCTTTTTTTTTTTAATGCATGTGCATGCAGTTTAAAATGAGAAACACAAAATTAGACGTTTTTTTTTAGATAAGGCAAAGTAGATCCATGTATAAGAGCAAAGCATTTGAAAGTTTGGTGATAGTTTATGAAATACTTGAAAATGTCGAGTCAATTAGATTATTAAATTAGAACTTTCTATCTAGTTATGTAACAATTCAAATCTCCCTACATTTACAAAAGCAAATAAACAAATTCTGAGTGAAGAAAAATACAAAGATCAATGTGTTACCTTAATTATAATGGTGGTGATCTGCATACATTTGAAACAACTATATCTCATGTTTACCAAAATTACTCTTGTGCCCTACTGCATATAGAAAAACTTAGAGTAATGTTTGTAAAAATTCAATCTATTCTGAGCAGAAAAATCAAAGATGACTATAAATTAAAACATACATAGTTTCACTACTTTGCTTAATTGGAATGAATTATTATTAGGCAAAAAAAGACATTTTCACTCAGGAAACAATAATAGAAGAGGTCAGGGAAATTATTATTATAATTATTATTATTATTATATCTCAGATAGACTTTTTGTTTCTCTAAAGATTTCAGTGCTGAATAATATTTTAAAATTGATTATATAGCCAGGCTCAGTGGCACATATCTATAATCCCAAAGGCTTGGGAGGCTGAGACAGTAGGAACTGAAGTTCAAGGCCAACCCCAGTAACTTAGAGAAGTCCTAAGCAATTTCGTGAGACCCTGTCTCAAAATGAAATACAAAATGGGCTGGGGATGTATCTCAGTAGTAAAGAGTGCCTGGGTTAAATTCCTAGTACCAAAATCAAAAAAGAAAAAGAAAAAGAAAAAGAAAAAGAAAGAAAGAAAGAAAGAAAATGATTAAATAAATTCCCATTATTTTTTCTACTTTAGGAAAAGAAAAAAATCCTTACCACATAATACAAATGACAAAATATTTTTCATTCTATTGTAGGCATAATAGGAAATAAGGCATTTACTGACATTCTGCTTGATGTGGTGACCCTGAACCTTGGAACAAACAATTTCCCTATTGGATGGATGCACCTCACCCAACCTGAAGTAAGCTTCCATTTTGTTCCAGCTTCAAAGGTTTTCATATTATTCTTATTTAAGTGATGAGTCACGAGTTCTAAAATAACCTGTACTTACACAGTGTCTGGCATTTAGCAGGCGATGAATGAAATCTGAATGAATGAACAGATGAATAGGCTTGAAACCAAGACACATAGCATGTGCATACTCAGTATTTGAAGAATGTTAATGATCATACAGTCAGTAAGGTTCGATCAAGAAGCTTCTATTACTACCAGATGTCATGACCCTAACTAGTCATAGTAGATGATTCTGCAGTCCTAACTTTTCATCATAATCTTTTCCCTAAAAATATCTCAGAAAACAAAAGTTTTGGTTAAGCCACCATGTGGGCTGCAGAGCCCTTGCCCAGGCACAGCTACAATCTTTTCCCAGCCTCTGTGCATGGGTAAAAAGTTAACTGGAGTCCCATATAAAGTGGTTGTGGAAGAGTAAGCAAAAACCATGGATGTCAAGGAAGCAAAAAGTGAAACACTTTCTAGGTACTGCCTGGTGTGGATTTGTTCAGAGAACAAAAGGGAACTGAAGTCAGAACTGGCTCTTTTACCAGTATAAAATTCTATCTCTTTTATCTGAATCTTAACTCTGGAAGCCTGAGCTGGTAGAGCCTCAAGGTAAGAGTCATAAAAATATTCTAATGACATTTCCTGTTTTCTTTCAGCTGCAGGAGTTAACATCTTTATTGGTAGTGAACTCAGAGTTCGTGGACTGGCGGAAATTCCTGTTGGTAACAGCAATGCCTTGGCCCATCCCCTTGGAAGAGGAACTCCTGGAGACCCTGCAGAGGTTCAAAGCTGTAGATGAGGCTCAGAAAGGAACCATCACTTTCGAGCAGTACATGCAGGTTGCTACCAGACCTGGTGGACTGGGAATACTACAATACTTTTGGCCTAAGAAGTGTCTTATTCAGTGATGTCACATCACAGGTCTCAGGCCAGTGTTTTACTCCTTGACTGTCCACGTCTAGGGAGCATAGGAAAAGTGTCAAAACCCCAGGTGGAATTATGGCTTCCATCTCCAGGGAAAGCATCTTAAAAAATCAGAACTTGCTAAAGAACTAAAGGTTCAGAAAGAAGTCTGGTGAGAATATATTTGACAGACTGAGTATAAAATGTCTGTGGGATATGTAGGCAAAAATAGCCAATCTGATATGGCAGGTCCAGAAGGGATGGCAAGTCATTCCTATGAAGGTGGTTGGTGAAGTTATGAATGAATGAGATCACCCAAGGAAAGTGATATGTAGTCCCATTGCACAACGCCTTCCCATTGTTCTTGGCAAGTTGAACACAACTGGTGACCTCCACCAAGACAGTGTTGGTTGAATAAGTAGAGAAGCCAAATTTGCAGAGGGTTGAGGAAATGAATGTCTTTAGGAAGATAGAGAGATGTTCAAGTCATTAAACCAGGTGTATGAAAATGCAACCTAGTTTTGAAAAGTTTAAAAAAGAAAAGTGAAATTCTGTAACTGATAGGGACCCGAGTTACAAATTTTTCCTCTACAGCTTGAATTCATCCCGTTGCTTATCATTTCAGGTTACTGGTAGACAAATAAAGAAAGAAATGATCACAAGGTGCTAATTCTGAAACGGGGTCATAGTCTCAAGGTGCCCGTATCTCACAGGTGTTTCCATTGAAAGAGCTCATCCCTTCCTGCTTTTCTTCTCTTTCCAGTTAATTGGTGGCATGCTTTTTTTGTCGTTTGTTTTTAAATTTTAAGATAGCCCTGAGATCTCCGTGCTCAGATAGGTAAGCCAGAGGAAATAGCACTTGAAACCCATGGAGGTTCATCAAGGTGGAGCAAGACAGGTGTTTGGCTGATAGGACTCTGGTATATTTGTCATTGTCATTGTACAAGACTTAATATTTATTAGGGTGATTTTGTTTGAAGATGAAAACAGAAAAGCAAAACTTTCTATAGATGGCTTAAGGTCGTAAAGTGGGCACTCATGAAAACCTTTAATATTTTCAGCAATGTGTTAATTAACACAGGATATCAATTTGAACATCCTTTTGTACAAACATGAAAAGAAGAAAGGGTGTTGGCAATTTTTACCAAAGTGCTGAGCCCAAACCAGAAAGATCCTCTACCAAAGGTGTGAATTTCTTAGAGAAAGTTGGATGTTGCCTTTAGTAGAAACTCAGAAACACATACTTGAATGCAACCTGTATTTTGAGAAGAGCTGATTTCTGAGCTCTGCCCTCTCCCCTTCCCCTCTTAGTTTCTACTCCTTAAAATTCCCAGGACACCAGTGCCATTTGGTGAGGCACACTTGACATTTCAGTTTGACTTTCCAGTTCTCACAAGCCAGAGAGAGAGAAAGACAGAGAGAGAGAGAGAATAAAAAATGTGGTTTCATGGAAAAAATCAAAACAGCATCTAGGATGAAATTTTATAAAATCTGGTGAAAATGCCACACGGAAACAGTAAGAAGTATAACTACATCACCAAGTTGAAGTTTTCTGGGAGAAAATGTTTGTTTACTGTGTTTTCTATTCTCTCTCTCTCTCTCTCTCTCTCTCTCTCTCTCTCTCTCTCCCACACACACACACACACACACACACACACACACACCTTTTGACAAATTGCAAGTTCAGAACAGTCACATAAGAGTGGCTTGTTTCTCCCTTCCAAAATGGAAAGAGCCCAGCCTTTGTGGTCATTGTGGTCATTCAGGCCTTGCCTCTGAGCCCAGAGTGATGAGCAGAGAGGCCTGTTTGCCCTTTGCTCCTGGCCTGCTGCCGGCTCACGTGCTTGCACTCTGCAGCTATGTAGTGGAATTCTCTGATTTTGAAATACAGATCATCTTCTACGGGTGAGAACACATGTTTATATAGGCTTAACTAGTCAGATGTTGTAGGATCCAAATAGCACTACTTCTTTAAGGAAAAGTGAAGGGGAAAAAAAAAACTAAAATTCTTTGGCCAGGTTTTAACAAGAAGGTACAAAGAATATTTCCATATTTTAGAGAGAAATCACCTAATAATTCAGTGAGGCAGGATGCAGTTAATTGAACCTTGATTGTAAATTTAAACCTCTTATGGTATAAGTTCACATTTAACATTTCAGGTTGCTATAATTTTTATGAAAGTTTTTTTTTTTTAGAAAACAAGATTTTTTTTTTCCTTTCTGACATTGGTCCTTTGTATTTAAAGTACTTTGAAATGATTTCCTAATTTGCAAACTATCATATGCTGGAGAAGACGAAAACAAATGAATCTTGGGTTTAAGAACTATGGGAAAATCCTGTGCATTGAAGCAATAAATATGGAACTGATCATTGGTTGAGTAATGAGGAAAAAATCAGGGATTTTACCTCTGCTTTTTTTTTTGCCCCTGTAACTTCTTTTAATTTTTCCTCTTTATTACTGGAAATTTGGAAATTTGATTATTATGTTCCGTCCTATGGTTTTCTTTATGTCCCTTCTTCTTGGAGCTCATTGAGCTTCTTGAATCTATGGGTTTGTAATTTTTGTCAAATTTGGAAAATATTTTTCCAAATATTTTCCCACTCTACCCCCAATTCTCAAAGCCATTCACATATTTGTTTATTAGACTATCTGATATTGTCCCACAGATCACTGATGCTTGATTGATTTTTTAAAGTCTTTTTTTCTCTTGATGATTTATTCTGTATTCATTTTCTATTTCTGTGTCTTCAAGTTCACGGAAGAGTCAAGTTTGCTGTTAATAAAGACTAGCATATTTTTCATCTTATATATTGTATGTAAAAGTTCAAGTTGTATATTTTTTAATATTTCAATGATATCTGTATTTTTCTTTACCTTCTGAAATAGAATAGCTTTTCTAAATTACTGTTCTATATATAGAATTGCTGTTTAACATCCTTGTCTGTTCATTCTGTCATCTGTTCTCATTTCTGTGTTGGTGTTTTTCCTGGCTGTGGGTAATACTTTCTGTCTTTTTGTATGCCTTGATTTCATATTAGATGCAAGGTGCTGTGAGTCTTATATTTTTGAGTATCCAACTTTGTTTTTCATTATGACTGTAGTACACGAAGTAGTATTACTTTGAATCAGTTTCATCCTTTCAAGGTCACAACAGGGATTGTGGAGGTGAGTTCAGAATAGACTTTACTGTAGGCAATGCCCGCTTGGGGCTCAATGTCCTGTATATTAGAAGGACTTTCTACTTTGGCTGGTGGTAACGTGAACTAATCCCAGATCTGTGTGTCTTGGGAGTTACTGAGCTTACTACTTTGCAGTGGTTCTTTCTCCAACCTCTGATATTCTCCCCCCACACATGCAGACCAGCCCTCAATCTACCTTGAGAAAACTCTTTTGTACATCTACAGAGCTCTCTCACTTTGTGTGCAGCCCCAAAATTCTGCCCTTCTTTGGCCTCCCTCAACCCAAAACCTGTCTTCTGAATTCAGGAAGGACACCAGGCCTCAGATGCTCCTCCTGGCAGTATATAGGCTGGAACAATAGTGGCATCCTCATTTATCTTTCTTCTTTCAGGAATGACTCTTGTGTTATCCATGGCTGAAGGTCTAAAATATACTAAATATGTTGTCCATTTTTCTTATTTAAGGCAGGACAGTGACTCTGCCCTTTATTACTCCATCATATTCAGAAGTGTAAGTCTCACCTATGTTCTTCTTGGCTCCATTCTCCCATAGAGTGGTCCATTCTTCCACAGAGCAGTCACTGGGCAGGGATCTCCTCCTGGTTGGTGCAGAAGCATCTTACATTTAAAGCTTGAGCCCATGCTGGACCTTAGGCTTTTTCTGGCTCTGCTCCCTCACAGGCTCCCACAGAGTCAGCATCTCTTTGTTCCAAAAAGAAAAGAAAATCCAGTTCTCACCTCTACAGATGATCCAATGCCATCATATCATTAAAACACAATTGATTCTAGGAAGGAAAGAAGGGGGGAAGGAACGGAGGGAGGGAGGAAGGTAGGGAGGGAGGGAGGGAGAAGGAAAAAAAGAAGAAAGGAAGGAAGGCACAAAATATAGGCGTGAGTCAGGTTAAGCCATCCAGTAGCTCATGGCCATAGTCAGTGTTGAGAATAGGTTGGTTGTCACTCTGGAAGACAGTAAGGGAGCAAGAACCAAGAACAAGATAGTTATACACATGAAATGTTTACCAGATATAAAAATTAAATTGGCAAGATATTTTCTTTGAATGCAACCATTTTATGCTTGTTCAGTAGCAGACATGAATGTCGTCCCCTAAAGGAATGAACTAAGTGCCAGTGGTGGGGCATAAGCAAGTCAGATTGTTCAGAGAGCTCAAGGAGAACTCTCTGAGAAAGTATGATCGGAGCCAGGTCTGGAAAGATGTGTAGCCTTTCCTGGGAGAAGGAGGACAGATAGAAGTGATGTAAGGTAAGAAGGACAATGTGACCAAAAGAATGAGGGTAGAAAATGGTTCTGAGCAGAGAGTGATAGGGCAGTATGCATGTTTTGAGAAAATCATTATGTTGCATTATAAATGCTGAAATAAGTAAGAAAGAGACTGGGAACAAACCAGCTTGAGTTACTGAGTGGCCCCTGGCAGAGATAATGGAGTCTGCCAGAGTAACAGTGGGGATGGAGAGAAGGGAAAGATGGCAGAGGGCTTGCCAAATTGGAACCAAGGGAGTGGGTGGCTCTTGTCAGATACTGATTGGAAGAGACGTGTCGTTGAAAGAGGACACTGAGATCGAAGTCAGCTGTCAAGTCATTCCAAAAGGTTTTCCAATGTCAACAGCACATATAGCAGCATGCAAGGCTCTGCAGACTGACAGGAGGTGAGCAGCACGTGGCATGTGAGCTGCTGTTATGGGAACACAGACCCCCCCAAATCCAGCAGGTGCAAGTTTAACCTTTCCAGTAATGACCCCCTAGTTTTATTGTGTGCTCCAACAGCGAGAGCACCCCTCCTCTGTGGACTTGCACTTGTAGACTACATGTGTGTTAATGTTATGCACAACATCAAATAAGTAACGATGAAAGCAACAAAAGAATGAGACAGAAAGAAATGTAAAGGCAAGTTTCAGGACTTTCTCTCACACCCGGCCATGGTTTCGGCACCGTGCTTTGGAGACCACTGTGACTCTAGAGACTGGAACAAGACTGGTTTGAGCTCAGCCTTGAAGAGCCATTATACCTTAATGATGGTCACTTGTACTTTTTGTGTAGGCTGGTCTATGGTTTATCGGAGATGAAGACATAAAAATTCCAGAAAATCCTCTTGAACCCCTGCCATTTAATCGACTGGAACATTTGATAGAGGTAATTATTGAGATTTTTTTGTTTTTAAATCAGCATTATAGCACTGATCATTTATTTTCTTCAGGTTCCTCCACTTGGGGAATTTGTTTTGGATTCCACCCTTTCTCCCCAGTTTCTTTGCTGTATCTCCCAAAGGCTGACTTTAATGCTAAGAAGACAGCATAGAGAAGCTCTAGAGGAGGAGGCCGGGCACAACATCTGAGAGTCCTGCTGTTTTCTGGACAATTTCCATGGCCTCTCAGGATTAGAAATCTGTCAAATAAGCTCCATTGTTACTCAATATGTCTTTCTTTAAATTGCCTTTCAATTCCCAAATCTGTAGGATAAGATTCTATCATTTTAACAGCATACGCTCTTTGTCTATTTCTCTTTGGTTTTGTCTAACATCATATGATGTTGCCGTGGAGCCCATCAGAGCTGGCTGCCCTCTATGTTGTTCTCGATAATAACATCATTATTAGCCTGTATCTCCAAAGCAACAAGAGAAAGCAGGACCTTAAAACCTGAAAGTCACTCACTCTGACTTCAGTGTAGATTTTTAAAATATAAAAATATACTGAACATGATCATTTCAGTAAGATGTGAGAAAAATTGAGTGGTAGATTTAGATGTCAGAGCAAACTCTGTATAATATGTTAACTGCTCAATCTCTAGGAAGCCATTAGTTCAAAATTACAGAACAAAATCAAACATTATGACCTTGAAGTGAGTAATTCCTTTCCATTGGATTTGTATTTTTCGAGCACATCTGCTAATGGTATCCAGGAGAGCAGGTTAGAGAAAGGGGGACAGGAGGTATCAAAAAAAAAAGTCCAAGATTCAAAAAATCCTTAGTGTTTTCCTGAGGAAAGGTGCTCTAATTTTGCTATATTAAAATCCACGAGTTGTTGCCTTATTCTCATCTCCTCAGGTCTGTCCATGTGACAGCACATAACATGTCTCATTCCTCTAGACTGATTAATATTTGTTACAGCCAGGCCCTTCATTCTCACACATTCAAATCTCCTCTCTCTGCTCATCACTCGTAGTACCTCTTTCTGTGATCTGTTTTTTCCCAAGGTCTCCATAATCACTATAAAATTTACTTCATTTGCATTGTTAATTCATGACTGCCTGCCTTCCCGTCAAGAATGTCAACTTCTCAAGAGCTGGCATCTTTATCTTCTTGCTTCTGGTTTAATTTCAAACACCTAGAAAATTCCATAGCTGGCACATTAAGGTGTCAGTATTTGCTGAGTGTGAAACGTTGTGTTATTGTTTTGTGCTACATATACATTACCATACAATTAGCTACCTAAAATAATACCCATTTATTATTTTATAGCTCTGCATATCAAAAGTCCAGACATGGTGTAAGTGGGCTCTCTGCTCAGGTTCCCACAAAGCTGAAATTAGGGTGTTGTCTGGAGTTGCAGTATCACCCACAGCCAATAATAAGGCTGGATCCAACATTAGCTTCCCAGATGGATTGTTGACAGGATTCAGATCCATGCAGTTGTGGGACTGAGACCTTCAGCCCCTACAGACTACCATTTATTCCCTGCCACCTTGCCAATTCCATGACATGGCCGTTTTCTTCTTCATGGACAGGAGGAGAGCATCCCTCTGGTTTCTAATTTTCCCCTGAATAAAAGAACATGTAGATTCCACTGATCTTTAAGATTCTTTTTTGTTTTGTAAATAACAGAGTTTATGCATTTTCCTACCAAAATTATTTAATTTATATTTGTATGGATAACATAAAATTTCAGAAATTCTTTTCCAAACTTACCTTCATGTATGTCTAATTAAATTTGCTCATAGTTGTAAGGGCTGTTGGTTACAGAGAATAGCAAAAGAGAAATATCCTCTGGATCTAGTAACCTCTCAAAGTGTGGGTCAGGACCAGTAACATCAGAATTATCTGGGGACTTTCTAGACATGCAAAACCTAAGGTAGCTCCAGAACCCTGTGCTTAATCTGAATGTTTAGTTAAAAAAGATTCTCCAGTTCACTAAGTACATAGTTGAGCAGAGTTGGAAATGGAAGCCAGTAGGATTTCCCAATAAGGTTGTGCCTAAGTGTGGTCTGTATGTCCCAGCTCTGAAGGCCCCGGAGGATATTAGGCTCCAAGCACTGACTCCCCATGCTGTCAAATGCACAAGACACTGGATGGATGAATGTCAGCTTAGTCATTCAGAGAGAAAGGCACCTAACAAATCAGCATTCAGAGCATATCATACCATCTCCCTGGATGTGAATCCACTTTGGAAGAACTCACTTAAGGCTAGTAGGTTGAGGGACAAGTTCAGAGCAGAAAAACCAGTTTAAAGGCCTAAATGGCATCATTCTCTTTCCAATCTCTTTTCCACACAGGGAAAGATGGACCAGAAGTCTCATATTTAGGGTCAAGACCCAATTTGTTTGGATGATTCAGAGGACAGACAGTGGGTCCTTCTTGCAGCCTCTTCTCTCTCTCTCTCTCTCTCTCTATATATATATATATATATATATATATACACACACACACACATATACATATAATACATATTATATAAAATATATATTACATATATATATACATTATATATATAATTATTGCATTATCCTGAGTATGTTAATACAAATTAATTAGCACACAATTGTCTTCGACATTAGAATTCAGAATCCTGCTTTTCAACTTTTTTCTACTGAGAATGCTATTCAGTTAATACCACTCATTACTAATTCAGTCCTCAGAAACTTCGCTCCAATGCTCCTGCAGGGATTCTTCGCTGCCCTGACGACCTGCTCACTCCCAGAGTGCACCCATTTTGTCTTTGATTGAAATTCTTTTTGTGTGACAGTTTTTCTTTAGGCTGTTTGCTGACTCTGAGGAGAGCCCACCCCAGCTCGACTACACTCAGATGCTGCTCTATTTTGCGTGCCACCCAGACTCTGTGGAAGGGGTCTACAGGGCCCTCAGTGTGGCTGTGGGGACCCACATCTTCCCACTGGTTGAAACTCCCATGATGGCTGCAGAAAAGGTAATCACATTTCAGAAATGGGCTAACTCTGGGCTCTGGAGGGGTTTGCAGAAGATCCTAAACCATTCAACAGGTACTCTGTTCTGGCTGTTTTCCATATTTCCCCCAGTTCCTGACATAATGCTTGACACATAGTGGGTCTTCAACAACGATGTTCTCAGTTGCATGAAGAACTGGAGACCCCAGTTCTATCAAATACTTTTGTGATAGAATCAAAATCCACTCAAAGTTTCTTGTTAGAATTGAAGTTTGCTCTGGAAAGGACAGTGTTTATTTTGCATGTAGTGCTGACCCTGAGACGCGAAAAAGAAGACGACTTCAACCCCAATCTGTTTGTCCTGCTCTATGGAAACTGTATATGAAGCAGGTTCAGGCCTTAGTGCTCCCACACATATGTGACTGTTGACAGTATTTTGGGCCAAAGCCAGACCACCTGAAGTCTGCAGGCAGTTTGTCTCACCCTCACCAGACGAAGCTTAATATCAAGATGCCACACAGACGCCCCTTCAGATTTCTTAGGGATGGACCCTGCCTTGCTTTTAGGTGGCAAAACCTCAGGGCAGGCACTAAATAACGCATTCTGAGGTGCCCATTTGCACTGAGTGGCTTTTGGTTCTTCTGTTCTTTGGGGGACAGAGCTGAGGCCGTCCTGATGGGATGCTCGTTTCTATTCTGGGATATTTAGTTAGTCTAGACTGGACAGCAAAAGAGGGAAGCAAAGAGACCCAGTAATTCAGGCAGGTCTCTGTTTATCCATTGAGTCCTGCTATTCAATTATTCCCACCTGAAGTCGGGGACAACTTATAACCCATTTTGTGTCCTCCAAAGTAGCTTCATAAGAGTCAGTGTTCTCTTAATGTCTGGGAACCAGTCTGTCAATGAAGGAGGGGAGAGGGGAGAGTGCAAGAAATGGGGTACAGTCTCCAGGGCACAGAGGAGGAGGGAACGAATCCCGGGCAGGCAGAGGCAATAGTGAGATCCAGGCTACTGGTCTGAGCTGAAAAGATCCGGGGAAAGGAAGCTGTGGTAGAGCTGTTGCCACAGCAACAGACAAACACCTCCGTGGGTGGCAGCCAGGCCAGCTAGCACTGAGGTGCTGAGTCCCTGAGTCACTCCTTCAATTTATGCTAGTGCCTCATCCAGGAAACAGCTCCCCTTGAGTGCTGCTCTCAGGAGCTCTTAAAATCCAAGGACACAGAACAGCTGCTATACCACAGAGACCAAATGTGGGTGTGCAGATGGGGAAGGGGCAAGGGCTGGCACCTCAAGTCTCTCTCACAGCCTTTCCTGCTTGTTCCTGACTTGGAATGAACCCTAGGAGCTTTTGAAACACAGGAGCTACCCGCCTCCCCCATTCTTGTTCACCCCTGGTCCTCACCATCTTGTCTCCAATTATGCTATTCCATTTCTGAGCCCTTTCCAACTGTGTTCCGGTTTCCTGGGCAACCTCCTCCCAGGAGGCCATAAGGAGCCTGCTCGGAAATAACAACTACAGCAGATCTGTGTTTGCTCCCAAGACATTCAATCAGTCTCTGCTTTTGCTTTCTGCATAAACAACTGGAAATCTCCCCCCACGTTTCATGCTTCCTTGGTCCATCTCTGCAGCTCATGCTGATTTCATCAATGCGGCTCAGACATGTTTAAAAACTATGGCTTCTTGGGGAATTTCAAAGAAGCTCAGGATCAAGGCATTCATCAGTAATGCACTAGTCCTGGTGAATCTTTAAATAAGTGACATTTGGGGAAAATGGTCCGTTTTCTGCAACCTGTGTGGCATGGGGTGGGTCCTGATATTTGAATTTAGTAAATTCTGAACTCGTACCTCCCACAAAGCACAAGTTTTGTAAAAGCAACTTGGCAAGAGTATTTTGAGGCCCTCAGGTTCAAAGGGCATAAATTTCTATTTTATTCATTCCTTTGATGCTTTGCCCACCTTTGTTCTCAGAACTGGCCTCATTTTCTGCCTCCTGAGATGTGAGACTGAGCTGATTGCCTGAGTGACACATGGCCAGGAAGGTGTGCAGGCACCGTTCCAGGGACACACTTGGGAGAAGTCCTTGAGGCCTATCTCTGAGACTTAGCCAAGTGTGACACAGTGCTGGACAGCGTCACCTTTCCCCTGCTTGGAGAATAATGGGAGTCTCATAGTGTTTTTGATGCTACACATAATCACTCATTCAAAACACTGGTTTTCATCCAGCTGCCATGACTGGCTTTGTTCCTACACCCACATTCAAAATGGCTCTTTCTGTCTCTGTGGAGAAACCCTTTTCTTTACGGTCTCCGGCACCTCCAGGATGCTGAACTGGCTCCTTTGGTCTCACCTAGATCTCCGTCATTTCCATCCTTCCACTGAGGCACTAGACTTGTTCTGTCTGATTCCCAGAGAGGAAAAACAGCAAAATTTAAAAAAAAAAAAAATCCTCTGACATTAATAAGTTTGGGATTCTTCACTCAAATATGTCATCTTTTTACATTTTTACCTTTTGGATTAAAAATTCATATATTTCATAATGCTTATATCAGACCATTAAAAAACAAATCCCTCCCTAAATATGGAAATAGTTCCAGACCGGCCAGGTTTGGTGGTTGTTTGTTTTGGCATTGCCTGCTCATCTAACAGATGAGCCCTTTACTTTGGCTTTATCTTCTCCACACAGCACCCATGCTACATTCTGAGTAGAAAATTTCCCATTTTCCATTCCTTCAATAAGATGTTTCACATCCTCTGTTTATTTTCTAGACGGAATATTCTGTTGCCCTAAAAAATTATTGGTGGGTAATCAATGCCATGATCTCCAAGATTCCTGAGTAGAGAGACTAAAGCCAGGGTCACTTTCTTGCCATGTAGCATTTTCAATTGTTTAACTGGAGAAGAGGTTGAAGTGCACATATACGGGTGTATATAGAATTCCAAAATCTCCACTGGTAGAGTCCTCCTATTATTTTTTTTTAAAGAGAGAGTGAAAGAGAGAGAGAGAGAGAGAGAGAGAGAGAGAGAGAGAGAGAGAGAGAGAGAGAGAATATTTTAAAATTTATTTTTTAGTTTTTGGCAGACACAACATCTTTGTATGTGGTGCTGAGGATCCAACCCGGGCCGCACGCATGCCAGGCAAGCGCGCTACCGCTTGAGCCACATCCCCAGCCCTCTCCTATTATTTTTAAGAGTCAATTAAATTCTGCTTTTGCTTTCTGCATAAACAACTGTAAATCTTCCCCCATGTTTCATCCTTCCTTGGTCTATCTCTGTAGCTCAAGCTGACTTACCAAATAATACAGAACCCCCCCCCCACTAAAGCCAGGTGACCACCCAGAGCTAAAGCAAATGCAGCCTGTCTTCATCGCACTTCCCATAGTGCCTCCAAAATCCCTTCTGGCCACAGATGAGCACCAGAGGCTTGATTTTATGACATGTCATAATTCTTATATGCAGAACACTTACATTTGGAAAGAATTTGTATAATCTATGCACTTAATACTTCTAAGGAGTTAAATATTTACTAACATTGGAACCCTCCTAAATAAACACATTTTTCTTTCTTAGGAAATCAGAATTCAGGGATTCTCCGACATCTGGCCAACCAATATCCCAAAATACCCATTTCCCTGTGGTAAATGATCATAATTAGAAAACATGCATATTCTCTCTCTCTCTCTCTCTCTCTCTCTCTCTCTCTCTCTCTCTCTTTTTCTCTCTCTCTCTCATACACACACACACACACACACATATGTATGAATAGATGTTTATTATAGAGAATTCAAAAATTATAAAACAAAGGAAAAAATAAATAGCCCTTTCTACTCCCCAGAGGTAATCACTTTTAACACTATAAAGTATCTATGCCCTTTATTTTTATTAATGAGGATAGATACATAAGAAAAGGGGTACCTAGTGTATTTATTATGTTGGTTTTGGGGGTTTTTTTCTACTTATTCTACCATGAGTTGGGATTGTGTGTGTGTGTGTGTGTTACAAGGTATTCTTATAAAACATAATTTTCATGGCAGCATAGTATTCAATTACAGAAATGTGGATTATTGTGCCATTTCCCCATTTTTTGGAATCATAGGCTTTCTATTTTTCCTGAAATACTGAATGATTATCCATATTCAAAAGTATTTGGGCCCATGAATATTTATTCAGAATCAATTCCTATATTTATAATTACAGAGCCAATGTACAGAAATATTTTTCAGGCTTTTGATATGTTAGAAATTACTTTGGAAGTAATTTATTCTTTGCAAGAATCAAAATGTGATGTCTGAGTTCACAGCTGTTAGCCAAGTTTCAAAGAACAGCAGTACAAAAAAAAAAATTCCAACTTTATCTTCAACATGTTTTCTATGTTGCCTGCTAAGTGTTAGGTTGGTTACCCTCCCAGTATCCAAAGAAATGTTCCTGAAGCTCCTAGAATCTGTCAAGCTTGAGAAATTAATTTGCCATAACCTCAACTGCAATAAGTTCAAAAACAAATCCTGTTAAAATTCTATACTCATGTCAAGAGTCTCTCACCACTTACCCTAACTTATTTCAGTGTTCATACCTGGCAATGCAGTAAGAACCAGGTAGATGAGGATGGTTAAGACAGCCCCACCCTGAGGCCTCTGACCACTACAAGCAAAATGGTCTAGGGTTTTGACATGATTTTTGATGCAGCTGGTGCGTTCTCTTCCCCACTTTGTTTGCTCTGTGGTAGGCCCTCACTCCCCTGCCTCAGTGTGTGAGGAGCTGGTGTTTTCCACACCTCTGTGCTGCTGGCAGGCGTCAGTCTGAGCTCACACCCTCCTCGTTGAATTCGGCAGACCTCCTTCTCTACCGACGTGAGCCACACTGAGGAATTTCCTGAACCCGAGGACAACGTCCCACAAGACGAAAGTGAACTCAAGGAGGAAAGAGAGGAAGGGGAGCCAAAGCCAGAAGAAACCCCTGAAAATATCAACACTGAGAAGATCTCCCTGGAAACACTACTGAAGGTCTTCCGGGGAGGAAATGAAGTACAGGACACTCACCGATTTGCCACTCACCTGAAGACAGAGAACATTTATGCAGAGGTTGGTTACATTTGTTTTGTGAAAGAAGAACCCATATGTGAGGGGAGTTGCCCTCAATTTCAAGCACATTTTTTATTCTGAAAACATATCTTGTATAAAAGTTATAGTAATTTCCATTTGTACATAAAAGCATTCTTTAATATCTGTGGTAACGTTAAGCTAATTAAATTCATTTTTGTTTTTCCTTAAAGAGCTTCATACAAACATTTCAGGACCTAGGTGCCAAGAACCTGGAGCCAATTGAAGTTTCCGTTCTCTTAAAACACCCTTTTGTTCAGGACCTGATTGCGAATTATTCAGACTATAAAATTCCCGTGAGTATGACCCAAAGTTATCCTAATTCTAGTGGGCTCAGGCTCAGGGCATGCTGGGCATTCTAATGTGGGCTAGCAGGAAGGAGAAGAAGCTGAACAAGGCTAAGAGGACAGCCTCCAATAGCCAATAGCCACTGGGCCCGAGGCTCATGCGCAGTTGAGGCAATCTCTGTATTTGGGGTCTGCTTCATCATTAGCACAGTGCTACCTTAGGTCTACAACCAAGGCTGAGGGTTGGTAACAGTTACAGCTGGTGGACCATCAGGGTTCTGGGTCACTCTATTCACGTAGTGAAGCTGCACACTAATAGAAGAGTATGAAGAATAGGATCCCTCCTGCCAAAGAGAGCTAACCAAGACCATGGTCTTCAGCCAAGTGCTGACATATTCTTCATATTTAAATCACGGTATCCAGTGTGTGTGTAATAGAAATGATAGTGCATACAGCAGGTCGGATACCAATTCCATCAGGAAACAGTGTGCAAGTTGGGGAGGCTAACCACAAAACCCAGAGAAAATGGGATAGCTCAGTGGAAGAAAGGAAGACTAGCCACTCAGAGATCACACTGTGACCAAGCACATCTCACCACACAGGCCAAAGGTACGCCCACTGGAGCTAGGCCCAGGTCTTTGACAGCAAGGGCTCAAGGGGCACAGACTGACACCAACCACTCTCAGAGTGCAAGGTGCTATGTCCTCTCACATACCAGTTTTAATCAGCATGAAGTTCTCTATTTGACTCCTACTAGTTATTTATTGGGCTTGCTGAGCTTAAGATAAAAGCACTTTCACTTCGGTAAACACAGGTGGTCGAAGAAACATTTTCTCCTGACTTTTCAGAAATAGTCTATTATCTTTTGAAGAAGCCCAGAAATTAAACTATCCAGGATTAAATATCTTTGTACCCAAATTTATTTTCCCTGAAGGGCTGATCCACTTTTGTTGGTTTGTTTGGTAGTGCTGGGAGTGGAACCCAGAGCCTTGTGCATGCTAGGCAAGCAATCTACCATTGAGCTATACCCCCAGTCTGCTGGTTCCTTTTAATATTAAATTTTATCATCTGTATTAGTACTCATTGAAGCTGATTTCTAACAAACCAGGAGTTTTCAAGACACTAGGCACACCCAGGAGTGAAATATAATTACAGAATTTAAGAACTCAGCTCTGAAGTCCTAAAGCCATGGGCTAGAATCGCTCATCCACTGCTATCTAATCTGATTTTACATCTCCTCCCTAATCTTGACTATCTCATTTTAAATGTGGAAAACAGCCATTCCTATTCAAAAGGCGTTGGTGAGGATAAGTTACACCATGCATGTAGTTCTTGGCATGGCATCTGGCATGTGAAAAATGCTACATAAATGGTGGCTATTTGCATCATTGATACTGAGCAGCTACTACTGAGACCAGTAGTATACCCTTTCATGGGAGAGAAAAATGAGTACCAAACTTAGCTGCTGTTCTCAAGCACATTCCACTTATTTTTACATTCAGGAATTACAAGAGAATGATGTTTAAAGTAAACAAAATACAAAATTATAGGAATTCAAAACACGACTTATTTGTATGCTAGAAGCATGGAGGGAATCTACCCAGGATAAACTGCATCTTAAAAGATGGCCAGGGTTTTGGAAAGTGGTGCAGGAAGATAGGGAGCCCGCATGGATTTTGGTATTGGGATAGGGAGTTGCACAGCATGCTAGGTGGAAGGGAGGCCAGGGCCAGGGCATGAGAGAAGGATTGGGAAGAACAGGGTCTGATCCCTTGAAGGGCCACCCAGATATCCAGATATCAGTGACCCCACTGAATTAGTAAAATCAGGCCAGATTGCAAAGAATCCCAGGGATTGGGATTTGATCTGAAAAGCAACGGAGCATGAATAGGCTTCTGAGCAGGGGTGTGTGGTATGATATTGATTTCTTCACACATATTTCTTCTCTTAACCATATCATGTCATTTTGTCATATAATATAAGATAGGCTTCATAGGCCCATCATTTAGCTTATCGATAAATCACTGAGGCTGAACTCAAACCTTTGATCCTCCTGCCTCAGCCTCCTAAATTGCTGGGATTACATGCATATGCCACTGGGCCTGGCTCAGTTGCTCCAACTTTTGCTTTCTTTTACATCTCCTCCCTGTAACTTCATGGAAGGTTCCAAATGGGAGGATGGGAAACAGAAAACTGTCTCAACATATGATTGTGAATCAACAAGCATGGTGTCAATGACCTGAAAAGCCTAAAATTTGATATTTAACAAAAAAGAGTCCCTTTCCAGTAAGGTACTCTATTTTCATTCTTGCAAAGAAAGAAAGAAAAGAAGAAGGAAAGGGAAGGGAAGGGAAAGGAAGGGAAGGAGGGAGGGAGAAAAGAGAGAGAGAGAGAAAAAAAGTTGAAGACTCAGGGACAGTCATACTTGTCCTGTTGGGTCTCTTGCTCCAGATATCCATGTACAAGTAAGTAGATCACATTTTTAAAATGAACTTTAACCACAGTGATGTTATTTGAAGATGGTTCAAGATAAGCAAAGCAAAAGCTCGAGTGTGGTTTTTCAGGTTAAAATGTTTGCTGTTCTAAACAGTGGGAAGTGAAGGTTGTTTCCTATCTGCTGTGTTTACAAGGTCTGTATTTAGAAGCAGCAACATTTTTAAATACGAATAAGAAAAAATTTGAGTGTGTGTAATTATGATGATAAACTTTAACTTTTGCTCCTATTGTAAGGTGAACTGGCTTTGAACTTACGAAAATGGACTCTGGAACCACACACACGACGTGTGTGACCTTGGGCAAGCGACCTCAAGAGGTCTTCTTTGAATACTATGTTTATAATAACTAATGCTAACCTTATTAAGTTAGTTTGAGAAGAAATGAGCTAGTGTGTGGTTATCTGATACTCCATAGCATGGGGAAAATCAGACACTCGAGACATATTTAAACCAGGCTTGGCTAAATTTATAGCTGAAATCAGGGGCCATAATTGTTAGTAGCAGTAGATGAAAGGCAGAGCATTCTGTCCCTGGCATAGAAAAGCCGTCTGCTGCTCTAAAACTCTACAAATCTGTAGAAATTATTAATTTGGCATTACAATCTTCTTTTAATAAATGATGAATACTCTCTCTCTCTCTCTCTCATTCTTTATAGAAAAATAGTCTTTTTGACTTGCCCATTACAGGCCAGAGTCTGCATAATTACTTTCACAAATGTTATGCAATCTAAGATGACAAGTCCATTATTAGATGAGAAAAGTGGGGTTTCCAAGGAAACAACTAGTCAGTTGCAGGGTACGAATCAAACCAAACAAAGAACAACTTACTGTTAATTGCCACCATATATTAGGTGAACATTCACCCTAAATTCTTCATTAATATTTGTAACTTTACTTTGAATGTTTTCTCTTAGGATATTAAAATGATTTTCCAAAGAAGTGAGCACATACAAGGAAGTAATGGAGAAAGATCACCTTCAAGACTTACAGAGGAAAAGAAATGAAGACAGAAGAGTGTGATTTTTTTATTATTTGGCAATGAATCTTCCCAAAATCAAATGTGAACATGGAGTCTGTCGTGTATGTTTTTATTGGTAGACATGACCCCTGCCAGTTGATAAAGAGGGCCTGAAAGGGGGAACTTGCTCAACTCAAGGAATCTTCTATCCTAAACCTGCAAGGCAAAGAGCAAAAATCCAATGTAAGCAAGGGTTATTTTGGAATGATTCTGAAAATAGGAAGCACTAGAAATAATATATTAGAAAAAAATAATACAGAGACGTCAGGAGTGCTCCCTCTGAGAAGTATTTACATTAAGCAAATATAATGAAAAGTTCCCCCAAATTACACATCAGGGCAGAACCACTCTGTGCATGTTACATTTCTTGCTCCATGTGATGTAAAACCTCAAGGTTCATCCCAGTAACCAAGGAGATGGCTGCATTATCTAACGCCTAGTACAGCCATGCTCCTATCATCTCTTCATAATTATTTCTCCATTGAATGTTTCTCTCCAGTTGTACTTGCGAAAATGTATCATTTTGCTTGATAAATCAGAGACATTCAATGAGACTTATTTCGAGAAAGTGTCTTAGAAAAATGCTGGGCTTCTATGACACCCTTTCCTGGGCTGCTCCCTCTGAGGGTCTTTTGGTGGATCCTCCTCTTCCACTCAACCTCCAAATGCTGCAGGGTCCCAGGAGTCAGCCAAAGCCAGTCTCTGCGTCTCATCCATTTCCACTATTATTCTAGAGGCTGTTATAGGCTTATATTCCTAAAATTTCTATTCTCACTTTCCTCCAAAATCTAAACTTCCCCAACTTAATACCCATCGGATTGCCACATGGATGGCTAGAAGTCACGTCACACTCAACATGCCTGAGGCAGAAATCTCAATTTTCCTCTCCCTCAGACCTACTGTCCTCTACATTCTTCCCTATTTCAGGTAAATCTGACCTCCTTTTGTTCAGACCAGGACCTGGAAGTCATTCTGGACTTCTTTCTCTCATCCTATCTCCAGTCCATCAGCAGATAATGTAGCACATGCCCTCAGAAAAATGCACCTGTGGTCTGATCTTCCCTAGTCCAATCACAAGGAGGCTGGGCCAAGCCACTGTCATTTCTTACCTGGATTATTGCAGCAGCAGCCCCCTACCCTGTCAACCCTCTTCTTGCTTTGCTCCCCCTACAGCCTGTTCCCCCCACAGCAGCCAGAGGGAGCCTTTGACCAGGCAAGTCAGGCCACGCCCTCCTTCTGCTCCAACTTTCTACTGGCAACTTGTCTCACAGAGTCCAGCCCAAGTCCTAATCTTGACCTTACCCCCTGCTAACTCTCTGATCACATGGCATCTGCTCTTCTGCCCCTTTCTCACTCTACTTAAACAACGAACCCACCTTGTGATCCCGGAGCACACTGACCACACTTCTGCCTCAGGGCCTTAGCCCTTGCTATTCTCTCTGTTTGGAATGACTTTTCTTCCTCATCCCTAGATGGCTTGTCCTCTGACTTCCTTTGGGTCTCTTTTGAAATGTCACTTTTCCTAAGGTCTCACCTCACTATCTAATGCAAAATAGGAGCAATCTACCACATTGTACTCTGTACTCTTATGTTTTTCTCCACTGCGCTTGTCAGCATCAGGAAAATCATATTTTTGTTCTTTACACGTCATGCCAGTGAGTTGAAAATCAGAGTTTTATACATTTTCTTTATTGCTGCCCTAAGACTGAACTCACAGCCTGCTTTTTATTGTTATATTTGTACAAAATATGTTGAAACATCACATCAAGATTGATCACTAAAACAAAGAGCTGTCCAAGACAATTTCTATTATTAATGGGAATTATATTCCATTTCTAGAAAGTGATTCATTTCCTAGTTTTGCTTCTTGTGGGCTAAGACTCAACCAAAAGCTCCATTCCCAAAACCCTTGTCTCCAAAATATGGAGATAGCAACCCAGATGTGTACTTGGAAGATGGAAAAGAAACTTTATCAGAGAACTCAAAATTTCTTAGCTGATTCACATGTGGGTGCAGAGGGTAATTCTAATTATCCTGCAGAAGGGAGAAGATAGCATCAAAAAGTAGAGTTAAAAGAAATAAAATATCATGATAAGGACGAAGTTAGTAAACTAGTTCACATTTTATTAAGGATGGAACAAAACAAGGCAACATTGCATTACAGTAGAAAAACAGCAAAGCAGAGCAAGCAGAATTCCTTGTTATAATAATTCTCCTGCACAATACTGTTAAGTAAGGAAATTGTATAATCTGTCTCATGAGGCTCATTGGGCAAGGAGTGAAATTCACACTGAAACCAGAGGTTTTACGGCATTCTCCCAGAGAAAGGAAGAAGGTACTAGAGGCTTACCTCCCTGAGGTCCTTTCAAGCCTTGTAATTCTAGTGAATTCACAACCTTGAAACATTCTGATAATGTAACTAAAACCACTACTGGCACTGTGTACATGTGCGCGCATGTACATGCTCTCACACACACACACACACACACACACACACACACACGCACACACACACACACACACACACAGTGAGTTTTTAAGAGTGCTAATGTAAGGGTCCAGCGGAGCGTCGGAGAAAGAGACCACACAAGAGACTGGCTCCATGCAATTGGCAAAAGGGGATTTATTGGGGATCCATTCCAGCGCGCTGGGG